AAAAACAAAAAAAAAAAAAAAAAAAATCGAAAAAAGAGTGAAATAGTCTGTCACATAACCGAGGCGGGAGTCGCGGGGACAAGAGGCGGCAGAGGAGGCGCAAACTTTACTATGAGTTTCGTACGTGGAGGCAGAGCCTGTTCGGCACCGCTGCATGACTGCCGGGTGACGCGGGGTGGCAGCCAGACCCGCCCAAGACCCAGACGGAACCGGCCCAGCCGCGGGACCGCCGCCTCGAGATCATCGCACGCCTAGGCTGTCTCCGGTTTCTCCCACTCAGCCCCTCAATCTCTAGTGCCCACCGCGCAGCAGGGGTATATGTACGTCTCGGAACAGACTGACAACTCCGTGAGCCAGTCCACTGCCGCCTTCATGTCAGTGGCCCAATCAACATGAAGAGAAGGCGGGACGATGTCGGAGAACTCCTCCAGGGCTCTTTACTACACAGTACAGTACTAGAAACCCGCGTCCTGCGGAGGGGCGGAGACTGGGCGGCCCGAGCGGGGCGGAAGTGGTGGCTCATGCGCACTTGGATGGCCAGGGCGGCCGCTGGCCCGCGCGGGACACCTACCCTTTCGTGGCCGGACCACCACTCCCAGCAATCTCGGCGGCTCGCGCGCCTGCGCGGTCCTCACCGCGCTCCCTTTGTGTCACCGGTCAGAGCCCAGCACAGAGCGGCCTGGAGACAAAGGGGCCCGCGAGGGGAACTGCTTCCGGCCAGGCCCTCGCAGAGGGCGGGTGACCTCGACCCCTTGCAGCCTGAGCTCTGCAATCTGCTCTCAAACTCCGCTCCTTCACTTCGGGAAAGACACCTAGACCTAAGCCGGACAGGCGTCTCCGGGGTCCTGGGGTCTCTCCCTGTGCTGTCTCGGCCTCCCCTCCCCAGTGGCTCCTCTCCGCACCCCAAACTCCCAGATTTGGGGCTTTTTTAAAAGCCGAGGCACAGACTATCCCGTTGCCTGGACGACGGGCCGGCGCACAGGCCCGCCCCTTACGTCAGAGATTCCGCCTGGTGGGCGTGGCCACCCCGCCTTTGTCCGCCGGCCCCGGCCCCGGCCTGCGCCGCAGCGCGTCCTTCCTGGCCGCGGTCGCCCGACGCGGTGGCCCGCGCTTCCCGCCCGTCCTCCTCTGCAGTCCGCGCGCCCCGTCTTCCCCAAGGTGCGCGGTTGTCTGGTCGTCGTCTCTTAAATTAGCCTCAGCCTCGTGACGTCTCTGCCGACGCCGGGCCAGGGCAGTGCTCCGCGTTTCCTCCCATTTATTAATTCAGGTTTCACCCATTACTCCGGGGCTGCCCTGTTGCCATATGTGCAGGACGCACCGTGTAGACATAAAATAATTACATTGCAGGTCTATCGGACGCAGTTCTAGGATTGAGATTCGGGGTGTTCGTGACCCAACAATGTGACAATCAAGGCCTTTGGGAGTTTACTTAAAATTCCTACATGCAATCCAGTAATATTTCGGGCCAATCCAATTTTTGTGAAGTTGGATTGGGTATTATCCGCAGTGGTGCTCTTTCCAGCGACCCGGAGGGCATCTTGTGATATGATATCAGTACAACAAATGAGGCGAAATGGAGCTGTTCTGCCATTCGAAATGGATTGTTTACATTGGAACGTTTGTTACTACGGCGACAAACGACGGATAATATTTACACTTTGAAGTAAATGGGTTTGTTCTTCACTCTTATTTACATTCCCTCATCCAAGCCCCACATCTGGAGGACGTTCACTTTGATATTTGGGGAAATGACTGTTATTTTACTTAAAGATTCACACGTTTTCCAGTCTTGGCCCAGTTAAAAGCACATCACAAGGAAAGTTTCATTTCATACAACAAAATTTATTGGTCTGCACAAGGACTAATATTAGGACGTTATGTGGAAATGGATGTTTTACATGGAATAGAGAGTACAAAGTTGAATAACAACTATAAATTTTCCTCTAAGCATGCAAGCAGTTTTATTGTTTTATTTTTGTTTTGTTGTCCTCACGGAGGATATTTTTCCATTGCTTTTTTCCCCTTCATTTTTTAGAGGGAGTTGGGAGAGGGAAAGATCGATGTGAGAGAAACACATCGATTGGTTGCCTCGGAACCTGCAAACAAGGTATGGGTGCCCTAGACCAGAATCGAACCCAGGACCCTTTAGTCCTCAGGCTGAGGCTCTATCCACTGAGCCAAACCAGCTAGGACCATGCAAGCAGTTTTAAAGTACAACAGCAAGAGAGAGAGAGGTTCTCTTAATGCTTGCATTCATTGGCTCTTGACTGAGTAGTGTTTATATGAACTTAAGGTTAGAAATCATTTATTCCTTCCAACGACAATGAAGCTGGAATTTGGACATGGTTATCTTTTCTAAAAGTCAGGATACTATCTGAATAATGATTGCTCTTATATTTCATGGACTTTACAGACACTTAAAACAGAAAAACATCTTACTCATTCAACAAGAAATATTTAATGAGTGCCGCCTAACATGTTCTAGCTACTGTTCTATGCCCTGGGGATATAGTAGCAAATAAGGAGTTTACATTCCATAAGACATTTAATTTACCCCTTTGGATAAGAAGTCAGAAAATATTTATTAGCTTTATAAAATTATAAAAAGATATTCCTTTAGATTTACAGTGGTTCTCAACCTTCTGGCCCTTTAAATACAGTTCCTCATGTTGTGACCCAACAATAAAATTATTTTCGTTGCTACTTAAATGTAATATTGCTACTGTTATGAATCGTAATGTAAATATCTGATATGCAGGATGGTCTTAGGCGACCCCTGTGAAAGGGTCGTTCGACCGCCAAAGGGGTCGTGACCCACAGGTTGAGAACCGCTGCTTTAGAAAACAGTGAATGACTTCACTGTTTTCTTAACAAGGTTAGAAGACCAATAGCTAAAAGAATGAACGGTGATCATGCATTTGAAATACATATACCACTAAGGAAAAGTGTTTAATTTTGAAGATACATTGAAGAATCTTGGTTGTTTCAGTTGCTCTTTGGAGTGTAGATAAATATATTTTTCTAAAATGATATTTCTAGTTTAACTGAAGATGCTCAAACCTAAGGGAGTAAAAGATAAGAGATAAATATGTAATTATGTTTTGAGCTGCTTAAAAAATAAATCAACACATTCATTTCAAACTTGAAATGCCCTTTATCTTTTCTACTTTGGATTTACAAGATTTTGCCTTGCAAGAAAATGTAATACTGAGAACTACATTTTTTGTTGTCATTTAAGGACTAAGAAATGGCATTCATGATATTTTGGAATGATTTCTTTTAATACACTTCCTTGTTCTGACCTAGATTAGGGAGGGGGTTATTTCAAATGAACAAGATTCTCCTTTTTGGTATATAATCTTCCCAGTCACTTTTACTTTACCTTAATATTCAACCTGCAAAAGAAGTCATATTTTTAACAATCGTTAAATAATGAATTATGTTTGTAACTGTTTTGCTTCCCCCTCAAATTAAGAAAAGGTAGAATTGCTGCAAGTCAAAGGCTGAACCCATTGCATGACCAGTTTTCTTAAGACAGATACATTGTTAATTTAAAAGTCATGATTTCTATGACCAGTTCAAACACTGCAGCTATCCAGATTGTGTGCAGGATTTGGTCTGCAATGTTATTAAATCTGTTTTCAAAACCTCCAGTTTTTCCCTTGAATTCTGTGTTCTCACAGATTGCAATCAAGCCTTTTGTTCATTTTCTTATTTTACTGGCACACCTAATAATTGGATTAGAGCTTCCTCTATCAGGTATTTTTTTAAAATGCACCTGGCATGTTTTATACTTTTTTTTTTTTAAGTTATTGATTTCAGAGAGGAAGGGAGAGAGAGAAACATTAACGATGACAGAGAATTATTGATCGGTTGCTTCCAGCATGCCCCACACTGGGGAACAAGTCTGCAATCCGGGCCGAGCGGGAATCCAACCGTGACCTCCTGGTTCATAGGTCGATGCTCAACCATTGAGCCTGCAGGCCGGGCTTTATCAGGTATTTTACCACCCAAATTTCTTCCCAGATGCACAACAGGTGGATTTCATCAGATTAATTCAGCAACCCTTTTCTGAATTTAGTGCTGGTACAGATTCAAAAGACTTTACAATTTAAAAAGTACTCGGGGAGAGAAATATGCACATTGTACTAGAAACAAGAGTCATTACAAAATAACACCAAGGTAAGGATGCAGGCAGTGAGGAGAGGATAATACTCCCCGAGAACTCTGAGTAGTCAGGGAGCACCGCTTAGCTTTGATGTCGTGGTCTCCTAATTCACAACAACAGGTTCTAACATTTTAGTGTTATGCATAGAACATAATTTACATTAGGGTACAGTTCAGCTTGAAACAGACTCCAGGGATCTAAAAAAAAAATTTTTTTTAATGTTTTAGGAACATACTGATTTGTCTTTCAATAGAATTAACAAAACAACCCCCCCGCAAAGAACTGAGAAATCTCCGTGCTCTTTAAGGACCGCAAGAGCAAAGATTTCTGTGTGTTTATTTTTGTAACACTGTTTTGCAAGATATTAATAGGGGCACGTTTGTCGAGATAATTTGAAAGTAACTTCAAGTGAATCCGCCTTTAAAAAGTCCCACTGAAACCGCAATTCAGAATGTTTTTGTTCTTGAGACACTAGATGATCTTTTAACCTTAAAATGAATCCCAAGCAGACGTTTCCTACCACGTGTACTGGTACTTGGTGAAGGGGTGCTTTCCTAGCTTTGGTCTTCCACCCGGAGACTGAGACAGGGTGTTGGGGATGCAAACATGCTCCGGGTGAGCGCGTCTATTGAGGTGCAAACCTGTGTCCACGTTGGGCTGCAAACGTGCTTCGCGAACACGCGAGAACCGGCGGCCGGTCCAGTACCGTGAACTCCGGCTCCCAGAGCCTTCCCGCGCCCGGGTTCATACCACGTCCGCGATCTGCGCAGATAAGGAGGCGTCCCTTCCCGGGGGCGGGAGAGAACACCTCTCCTCGCGGCCCGGGCACCGACACCGTCCCCCCGGCGCCCCTCCCCTCCCCCAGCGCTCCGGCGGGCGCCGACTGGCCAGGCGGAGGCGGAGCCGCCGCTTCCCGGCGGCTAACCCGGGGTGGGGGGAGCCGGACCCAGTCCTTTCCGGGATGGGCGCGGCGGTGCCGGGTCCTCTTCCGGGGTGGGCGGGGGCTGGGCGGGAGCTGGGCGGGCCCCATTCTGGGGTGGAGGTGGCCGCGTTCGTCCCCTTTCGGGGAGGGCGGGGCCCGACCGGGGACCTTTCGGGCTGGGCGGGGCCGTGTCGGCCGCCTTCGGGGTGGGCGGGGCGTGTGCGGGGCGGTCCCTCCCGAAGTGGGCGGGGCCTTGAGGTGGGCGTGGCGAGCTCCCAAGCTGCCCTGGTCCTCTGGTTCCGGGTGGCTCGCGGGCCTGTCATGCTGCGGGTGCGCGGGGCCGGTCTGGGCGCTCGGCTGCTCCCGGCCTCACTGGGCCCGCGGCCGGGGCCGGGGCCGGGGCGGGCGGTGTCCGGGGCGCGCGGGCGGGGCTGGCTGCAGCCCGAAGCCACGATACGGGCGTCAAGGTGTACAACAGCCTCACGCTGAGAAGGACCCTTTAATCGTGGGCAGGGGACGCGCCTCCTGGTAGCTCCCGGGCACTGTGGGGGAGCGAGGTTCGGGGAAGGCGGGGCGGGGAGGACTGTGGGCTGAGCGTTTTGTGTGGAGAGCGGGGTCGGGTTCTCAGGTGGAAATCATTTAGCAAATAAAATACATGGCACCATGAAGACATGGTATAGTCACAGTGAAATGACAGGATTTTGGTATGAAGTTAGCAAGTCAAGTAATAATACATTCCCAGCTGTACATTCCACAAAAGTGGTTACTTAAAAAAGAAAATAAAAAAGACATGGTTGCCCTAACCGGTTTGGCTCAGTGGATAGAGCGTCGGCCTGTGGACTGATTGGTCCCGGGTTCGATTCTGGTCAAGGGCATGTACCTTGGTTGCGGGCACATCCCCAGTGGGGGGTGTGCGGGAGGCAGCTGATCGATGTTTCTCTCTCATCGATGTTTCTAACTCTCTATCCCTCTCCCTTGTAAAAAAATCAATAAAATATATATTTTTTAAAAGACATGGTTATATGATGATCCTAGTTGAGAAAGTGATATCTTCTCTTGCAAATATGTTTCACATGATGTATTTTAACTTTGTTCCCAGGTATAGCTGTGGACCAACTGTTTATGATCACGCACACCTTGGCCATGCTTGGTGAGTGTCCTCAATGGGAATTTTCATGTATTTGGGAAAGAAAAGCCTTTTGCAGGTTTTTTCATCTCTCAAGTGTCTGCGTAAGAATACTGAATAATTGCTATATTCCAGGTAGTGTGGGAAGCACAGGTGTTACAGTCTCATTTGGCTCTTGTAACAGTTCTGAACACTTACATGGATTTCACAGGCCAGGCAACCCCGGAGGCAATGAGAGCAGTGAAAGGACCCATTTTGGAATTAGATGTTTCCTGATGGGCTTAGTGAGGTGAGGCCCTTCCGGTGGCCCTGGAATCGGCTGGTCAGTTCTTATGTCTTGCTCCCACTACCATATTTATTTACTTTCCAACTTTGGACAAGCCACTTTAATACTTTGAGTTCTGGTTTTTTCATCTTGAGATGGGAGGGTGATAACAGTATCCATTGTTTTGTTTTTTTAAATCCTCACTCGAGGCTATATTCATTGCTCTTTAGAGAGAGCAAGGAGAAAGGAGAGAGAGAGAGAGAGAGAGAGAGAGAGAGAGAGACAGACAGACAGACAGACATTGATGTGAGAACATCCATTGGCTGCCTCCCTTCCTGCCCCAACTGGGGATCAAACCCACAACCTAGGTATGTGCCCTGACTTAGAATAGAACCTGCAACCTTTTGGTGTTGAGACAATGCTCCAACCAACTGAGCCACCCTGCCAGGGCAATAGTATTCATCTTTTTGAATCTTCACAATTTTATGAGATTGCTGCTTAACACAGTACCTGAAGTATGATGTGTGGTGAGAGTTCAACAATTATTGAGGACAAGTAACCTACCAGTGGTCACGCACATGGGATGTGTTGGAGCTGGGGTGGAGCCTGGTATATATCTGACCCCTGTGCTCTCTCATTTGTTAAAATTGCCACGTTCCCAAATATTTTGTATGTTCTCTTGTACATCATTTAAACTTGTTATTCTTCAGATAGAGACTAAAAGTAAAAAGTTACCTTTCTTTAGTATACATATAAAAAATTATATATCTGCCAGCAAAATCTTGAACTTTTGTGTGTGTTTTTTTTTTAATAACGAAATAAATGGTCTAGAAATCATTCTTTTTCCCCTTCACTTGGGGCTAACTTAATTATAAAAAAGCATATTTTGACCTCTTCATTGAAGCATGAAATATATTGGGGAAATATGAAAATGAATAATCTCCCAACTTGAAAAACCTCTCCATAAAGGCAGAAGAGAAAGAAAACAGTTTTATTATTGAATAAGCATTAAACCAGAATGAGATGCACATGATAGGCAGCCCACTAAAATGATTGCAAAGATAGAAAGAAATTGTACTCTCTGTAGAGCTAAGTGGATACCATTCCCTAGTTAGGCAGGGCTTGCAGTGTTGATTTAGGTGATAGAACATTATTTTCATTGACTTCATTTTTAAGGGATGGCTTTCAGGTCCTTGAAACTTTCCTGAGTTGTCCACACTGACAGAGGCTTATTTAGTTACTAGAGGCCCAGTGCACAAATTCATGCACAGGTGAGGTCCCTTGGGGTGGCCTGCAGGGATTGGGCCCCAGCTCGTGCTCCCAATCTCACAGCCCCCAATCTCACAGCCCCACAGCCCCACCTGGCACCTTACCTGCTCCACCATCCCGCCTGCGGGGTGATTGATCAAGGTGGGCCCCTGCCTGGCTCTCTCAGCGCCTGGAAGCCACCACTGGTCGCCGTCTGCAGGGCAATCGGCAGGGCGATCAGACCCCCACTTGCACCTGCGTTGGCCTGGTGCTGCCCCCTCACCTGCTCCACCATCCTGCTGCAGTCCTGTTCTCGTCAGGGCCCATCGGGGCTGGCAGTGCCTTCCCTGCTGCCTGCTGCCAGGGCCACGTCACAGATGCCTGCCATGTTCTGCTCTGCCCTGTGGTGGGTCAGTGCATGTCATAGCGAGTGGTCAAACTCCCGGTCGAACAACTGCCCAAGAGGACAATGTGCATATTAGGCTTTTATTATATAGGATTAGAAACATTTACATACATTTTAAAAGGACTGAGGAAATTCTGAAAGGAAGAAGGAGGGGGAGAGTCTCTTATTTTCAACTAGAGAATCAAGCCTCTAACTTATAATTTGTATTTGCCCTTACAAATGCAGAAAAGAGTACAAATCTTGCCCTAACCGGTTTGGCTTAGTGGATAGAGCGTCGGCCTGCGGACTGAAGGGTCCCAGGTTCGATTCTGGTCACGGGCATGTACCTTGTTTAAGGGCACATCTCCAGTAGGGGGTGTGCAGGAGGCAGCTGATCGATGTTTCTTTCTCATCGATGTTTCTAACTCTCTATCCCTCTCCCTTCCTCTCTGTAAAAAATCAATAAAACATTTAAGAAAAAAAAGAAAAGAGTACAAATCTTAAGTGTACAGCTGAATAAATGTTCATGGCTCTTAGATGGAGAAACACATTACCAACACCCAAGCCTCCTCTATGTCCTCCTTCCTCTCTCCTTTCCCCCACCCCCACTCAAGGATACCCACTATAGAAGTTTTGCTAATAAAATAAAACCCATTCCTCAAAAAGAGTTATTCCATTCAAGATGCCCCTTCGAGGCAGAAGATCTTAGTACTATAAGATTTCTGAAAAAGTTGGGAGATTTGGGGGTCAGAGATGGTAAGCATGGCTCCATTGCTCTTCGGGTAAAGTTCAGAATCCTGAAGACATCTCTGTGGTTCTACAGGTTTGTCCCTACTTAACTCCCAGGTAGCTACACCAACCTCTATTTTTAAAAAACCCAATCGGCCCCAGCTGGTGTGGCTCAGTGGACAGAGTGTTGGCCTGCGGACCAAAAGGTCCTGGATTCGATTCTGGTCAAGGGCACATGCCCAGGGTCTCGGGCTCGATCCCCAGTAGGGGGCGAGCAGGAGGCAGCCAATCAATGATTCTCTCTCATCATTGATGTTTCTATCTCTCTCTCCCTCTCCCTTCCTCTCTGAAATCAATAAAAATATATTTTAAAAAAAGATTAAAAAACAAAACAAAACGTATACTTAACAGGCACAGATAGCACTCTTTATGTGCCACCACTGTTCTAATGCTTTAGAAACACTAGCCGATGTAATTCTCCTAATGACACCAGGTGGCAGTGCTGTTATTTTTAATTTTATTACATTTATTGGGGTGACATTGGTTAATAAAATAAGTTTCAGGTATACAGTTCTATAATCCGTCATCTGTATACTGCATTGTGTGCTCGTTCACTCAAGATCAAGTCTTCTTCCGTCATCCCCTTTACCCTTTTCCACCTTCCCCCACCCCACTTCCCTCTGGCAACCACCCTACTCTTGTCTGTGTCTATGAGTTTTTGTTTGTCTTATTTGTTCATTTGTTGCTTTCAGTTTTATATCCCACATAGAGGTGAAATCAGGTTTTTGACTTTCTATCTGACTTATTTTGCTTAGCATATTTTCAGGATCCGTCCACGTTGCAAATGGCAGTATTTTATCTTTCTGATGGCTGAGTAGTATTTCATTGTATATACATACGTACCACATCTTTATCCAATTATCTATCGAAGGACACTTCAGTTTTTGGTTGTTTCCATGTCTTGGTCACCGTGAATAATGCTACAATGAACATATATCTCTATGAATAAATGTTTTCAAATTTTTCAGGTAGATACCCAGAAGAGGGATTCCTGGGTCATATGGTGACTCTATTCTTAGTTTTTTGAAGAACTTCCATACTGTTTTCCAAGGTGGTTGCACCAATTTACATTCCTACTAGCAGAGTATATGAGGGTTCCATTTTCTCCACAACCTCTATAACACTCATTACTTGCCTTGTTGATAATAGCTATTTTAATAGATTTGAGGTAGTATCTCACTGTGGCTTTGATGTGCATTTCCCTAATAGCTAGTGAAGTTGAGCATCTTTTCATATATCTGCTGGCCCTGTGTATGTCTTCTTGGGAGAAGTGTCTGTTCAGGTCCTCTGTCCATTCTTTAATTGGATTGTTTGTTTTCTTTTGTTGTTGTATGAGTTCTTCATATATTTTGGATATTAACCCCTTATCAGAGGTGTTTGCAAATATCTTCTCCCATTCAGTTAGTTGCCTTTTTTGTTTTGATGGTGGTTTCTTTTGCTGTGCAGAAGCTTTTTAGTTTGATATAGTTCCATTCATTTAATTTTGCTTTTCCCTTGCCTTGAAGATTAAATTCATAAAATCATCTCTTCAGTCCAAGGTCCATAAGTTTGGTACCAATGTTTTCTTCTATGTATTTTATTGTTTCAGGTCTTATATTTTGGTCTGTAATTCATTTCGAGTTAATTTTTGTGTATGGTGACAAATAGCAGTCAAGTTTCATTCTTTGCATGTGGCTTTCCAATTTTCCCAGCACCATTTATTGAAGAGGCTTTCTTTTCTCCATTGTATGTTTTTGGTTTCTTTGTGAAAACTTATTTCCTCAAATAAATGTGGGTTTATTTCTGGGCTTTCAATTCTGTTCTGTTGGTCTGTGTGTCTGTTCTTCATGGCAGTGCTGTTATTATCCCCAAATTACAAACGGGGATACTGCAGTGCAGAGGGTTTCAGGTCCCACAGCAGGAAAGTGGGGAGCCAGGCAGATGGCTGAGCGCACATTCTCCGCCCCCTCCACCATGCAGCCTCCTGTGATTCATGTGGAGTGGCCTCTGGGGGAGCAGCCCACCTGCAGTATCTCAGGACATTACAGCCCTTGAGCTCCTCTGGCACAAGCGTGTGACTTAACTTTCTGTTTTCACTGTTTTAGGTGCATGTTAACTTTTTCTCTTAAAGCTCATGTCCTATAAAGTCTTTTCTTATTCAAGAATAGTGGTCCGGTGCACGGATTCGTGCACATTGAAAGGAAATTAATTAGAAGAACTATTTTAATATCGCTATTTGTCCTTTCTCTATAATAGAAGTGTCAGAGATGAAAGAAAATTAGTAAAATGTATATGAAAATAGTGTATAAATTGATTAATAAATAAACGCTAACAACATGATATAACAACAAAGACATGATATAAAAACAACAAAAACATGATATAAAAACAACATTGATACAAACAATGACTGATAAATTGATTAAACTTATTCTAATATTTCCCTGTATACCACATTAATAATAAAAACACTTTCAGAGTGCTTGACTGATTTCCCTTGTGATGAAGTATTTACAACTTTAACTTTAACGTCACATGCTCTTTGAACTCAAGAGACAGCAACATATAACCGACCATTTCCGAAAACAGGTTCAGGTAGGAATATTCCTACTCTGTCTAGAATTTGTTTTGTGATTTATTAATAGTCATCACAAATGCTGACATCACAGGAAACTGTCTTTGAATTAATTTAAATGGGAGGCCAGTGTCAGATGGGGACAAATATTGCTCATGCGCAAGTCAATGCTTATTTTAAATTGCTAGTGTGCGTCATATGTACCGGTCAGACAGTTGTTCGGTTGGTCACTTAGCCTTTTATATATATAGATGAATGAAAGGCATAGTGGTGACAATGGTAATAATAGCTCATGCTTGTTGGAATCCATGCACTAAAATTATGTGTAACATCCTATGGGGTAGTGGAATTTTGCCCAATTTATAAATAAGCAGCCTGAGGCTTCAAAAGGTTAAATATCTTGGCAAGGGTTTCAGAGATAGTTTTGGTGCTAGAATGGAGGGCTTTGGCCTCAGCTGTATTTGGGGTGAGTGAGGGAGGTAGGTTCAAGGGATGCAATTATGAGGCTCATTTTCAAGGGAAAATGATTTTGTGAACTCAATTTTAGAGAGGCCACATGGACAACAGAGATGAGCATGAGATTAGCTGACCTTAGATTATAATGTTGCTTTTATGGGAAACCAGATTCTTGAGATTTCTGAATGATCTTAATGGAATTTAAAACAGTTCAGTTTTACAAGTCAGTCTCCCCAATGTAGTCTACCAATAAGCTGGTGATCTGTAATGGTGTGCACATTTAGGAGTAATCTTTTACAGCTTTAATAGGATTGTGTTTGTTTTTATTTGTAGTTATTTGCTTCTAGTTTGTCATAATCAAGAATTATAGTTATTGGAGAAAATGAAGAATGGTAAATGCTTTCAGTGTTTTAACTACCTAGTGAGATTGTATTACGGATAAAGTTTTGTACAATTAAATGGATGTAAATTCACTTGAACGATAGCTCTAAAATTAAAAATGCTAACATGTATCCTGAAATTGAGGCAGTACCTGTGTTGATTTCTTATGAAGACCAATGTGACCCAGTCAGTAAAAATCTTTTTCTAGCTGTACTTGAACTATTGATTATACTAGGGGCCCAGTGCACGAATTTGTGTACCTTGAAAGGAACTGGGCACTGGGGCGGGTCTCGGCCCATCCTCTGCGTCCCCGCCCAGCCCCTTCTGCCATGGCCCTCCGCTCCCCTGTCTGCTGGCAGCCTCGTTCCTGCCGCCGCAGCTCCCACACGCTGACGGCACCGGCCCCGCTTGCACCCGCTGACGGCATGGAGAGATTGGGGTCGGCGCCAGCAGTGGGTATGAGCGGGGCCAGCACCATCAGGGGGTGCGAGCCATGGCTGCTGCCCCAATTGCCCCTCAGGAGCAGGGGAAGGTGGAGAAGCCCTCAGAAGCAATCGGGGCTGGTGCCAGGTGCTGGCAGCGGGACTGTGGCACACGGAGCAAAGACTTTTCAGTAACCACCAGAAGCTCACTCCAATGACAGCAACTGGCACCCTGTCTTGGTCTGGCGCCCCCACTCACCTGCTCCACCATCCCGCCACAGCCGACGCCCTCCATGTTCTATGCTCTGTCACCTGCTGCCGACGCCTTCCATATTCCACGCGTGCCCCCTGGTGGTCAGCACACATCATAGCAACCGGTTGTTCGGTTGCTCCGCTGTTCAGTCTGTTTGCATATTAGGCTTTTATATAAATAGATGATTATATCCCACACCTGAAGTTAGGTAGCAGTGTGTTAACATGTAATACACTCCTTTTTTAAAGACCACAATGATGACTCAATGTATTAAAGACACCCTAACATTTCTTTTCTTTCAGCTCATATGTTAGATTTGATATAATTCGAAGGATCCTAACCAGAGTTTTTGGATGCAACATCATCATGGTCATGGGAATTACAGATGTGGATGATAAGATAATTAAAAGGGCCAATGAAGTAAGTGTTGAAGACTATGGATTGATAATTTGATTAATGAGTGTTTTTACCTCTATGTAGCAGTTTTTCTTATTTGTATTTCACAAGTACTTTTCCCATCTAACTATCCAGGTATGTGTGCTCTGACAGGTAATCAGAGGGATCTTTTTGTCCTGGTGAAGGAAGTTCAGGTCTATTTGATTTTGGTCCCTGAAGTCTTTAATGAATTGCCTTATTAAAGGGGGCCTCCTGACTTGAATCTGTAATCTCTTTCCTGGCCCCTCAGCCTCCGTGGTAAATACCTTACTCCCTCTTTACAGAGGGAAATTAAAAGGCTACGTTTAGGCTAGCGAAATTAAGCTCGTGTGAGGTTTAATGTTATCATTTGTTAAGAGTGAACAGGTTATTTCTCTTATATCTCACATGACAGTTAAAGAAAGTTTTGGGTGTAAGCATTCTAATGAAGAATTAAATTAATAGTTATAGGAATAGTCAAGTCTACTTTCACCTCTTCTGCTTTTTATAATTAGCAACTTAATTATCTCTAAAGGGCTATAAATAATTGTTAAATTATCTAATTTTCAGAAAAAAACTACATTGAGTACATTCCTGTGATTTTACAAAATTACTCCACACTCATTCCTCTACCCCCACCTCCTGGGAGGGAAGGGTGGCCTGAGGTGGAGCTGATCATCAGGAGCCAATGATTTAATCAACCCTCCTAAGTAATGAAGTCCCCATATAACCCCAAAGGACAGGGCTCGGCAGCTGCAGGGCTGGTGAACCCAGGGAGGTGCTGGTGGGCGGGAGGTGAGAACTCAGAGGGTATGGGAGCTCCGCCCCTTCCCATACCTTGCCCTATGTTTCTCGTCCATCTGGTATCCTGAGTTGTGTCCTTTTAAATAAACTGGTAGTAAGTAGACTGCTTTTCTGAGTTATGTGACTCATTCGGTCAAGCCCCCATATTGTAGTCCGTGGGTAGAAATACAAGTGGCCTGGGAACCATCATTTGCAGCTGGTGTCTGAAGTGGGGGTGGTCTTATGCGACTGATCCCCTAACTTGTGGGGTCTGTGCTAACTCCAGAAGTTGGAGGGTACCCTGTAGAGTTGGAGAATTGGAGAAGTGGTTGGTGTTGGAAAGAAAACGTTGCAGGGCCAGAAGTGAATATTGGGCAGTGCTAGCATTTAGGGGTCAGCACCCCATCCCTGGTTCACTATGACAGTTTGGTTTAAGCCTCCGTCAACATTCAGTTGTGCCTCTGCCCCATGTCCAAATTCCCACCTATGTTAGGTGTCCCTGGGGTCATGTGTCCACTTTGGTCCAGCCACTTAGTCCTTGGAGGCTGTGACATACCAAAGTGGCCAGGGGATGAGCGAAGGGCAGATCGGGGAGGGGAGATGGTGGTGGGAAGCAAGAGAGGCTGCTGTGTGTCTGCAACAGCCAACCCTGCAGCATCCTGCCAGGTGTGGCACATTATCACCCTCCACACAGGAGGAGGCAGGGTTTGAGATTGAAGTTGACCTCGCTGGCTGCATTTGGGATGGAAATGACAGAACGAAATTAGTGGCCTTTGATATAGTGAGGGGATCAATAGGGAACAGATGAATTATTCAGTAAAAACTGTTGACAGTTGAGTAACCATCTGGAGGAAAAAAATAAACCAAAGTTGGATATATGCCTCACAACCAAATTCAAGGCAGATCAGAGATTTAATATAAAAGAAATGAAACCACAAATTACTGACAGAACCTTGGGGCACTTTTTATAGCCTCATGTTGGAGAAGGCTTTTCTGTTTGTTTTCAAATCCAGAAGCTATTTGTAGGAAAAGATTGAGAAATATAAAAGATTGCTAAATATTAAAATAAAATTTTCTACATGGCCATAATGTTTATTTTATTTGATTGATTGATTGGTTTTAGAGAGGGAGAGGAAAGGGAAGAGAGAAGAGAGACAGAGACATCAATTTGTTGTTCCACTTATTTATGCATTCATTGGTTGACTCTTATAAATTATGTGCTCTAACTGGCGATCAAACCCACAACTTTGATGTATCAGGACAATGCTGTAACCAACTGAGCTATCCAGCCAGGCCTACCATAAAGTTTAAAAACTGAAAAAAAAAATTGAAATTCATATCAGAGATAAAATGTTAATTTCTTTTATATAAAAGTACTTTCTACAAATCAGTAAGAAAAGACCTACAACTCAATAGAAACATGGGGGGGTATGGATAATTATAAATCATTTAATACAAATCGTTTGTAAACATGTGAGATGTTCAAGCTCACTGAAAATAAGAGAAGCATAAATTAAAATTACAGTGAAAAAACATTTTTTTAGCTGTCATGTCGACAACCTGGGAGTTTGCTAGCACTTTGCAGCATAGGCACCTGCGTGCATTGCAGGTCAGGTTCAAATCAGTACACCTTCCTCGGAAGGCAGTTGGCAGGAGCTAGCAAACATTTCTGACCAGTGGCTTTACACCTAGGTCTGTAGCTTAGAAATGACATGTGTTGTCATGTGTGTCTCAGTAAAAAGATGGGAAAGTAATTGGAGAGGACTGCTGAATAGTTCATGAAAAGTCTGGGATGGGACGCAGACGACCTTAGAAAGAAGGTAGTGGCTCATCGTGCTCTGCGCGGACAGTTCTGGAACTTGGTTGTTAGAGATGGAAGCCAGGTGCAGGCCAAGTGTGGAAGGTGCTACATTTCAAGAAGAGGATGCAAATACATGTGTGACCATGGCCATGCTCCTGAGACAACTGGTGATGGTGTTGGCCGTCTGGAGAGAGGCTCGTCCTGGGCACCCTTATGTCATTCGTGTTCCCTGGGAGTGGGTTTCCTATGCAGAAAACAGAAATTACAGATGAATAGCCCTGGCCGGTGTGGCCACTTGGTTGTGTGTCATCCTGTACACGAAAAGGTCGCTGGTTCAATTCCCGGTCAGGGCACTTGCCTGGGTTGCGGGCTCAATCCCTGGTAGGGGGCGTGCGGGAGGCAGCCGATTGATGTTGCACTCTCATGTCGTCGTTTCTTTCTCTCCCTCTCCATTCCTCTGTCTCCAAAAATCAATTTAAAAATATATATACTTAAAAAATTACAGATGAATAAATACAAGCAATTTGCTGACCATTAGGTCCAAAATTGCATAGTATTAAAAGCTTCTAAAGTGAAAGCTAACACTGAAGTTTTAGCTTTTTTATTTGTTTGGCCTTTTGTCTTCTGGATATAAATAAGTTAACTTTTTTTTTAGGAGGTCAGCTTTGCCACAAAGCTGTACCATAGGAAAAGGACTAATATGTACTGATCACTAGCTGTGTCTGGGTGCTAGGTGTTTTGTCTCTTTAATAGTGATATTAATGTAGTTTTTTCCATTCACAGTGGTGACTTTCTCATTGCATCCTCATAGCAATCTAAAGACTATTAGCTGGGATTTTCTTCGTGTTGCAAAGATAGCCGAAGGCACCGAGGTTTATTGTCTTGCTCAAGACAACACAGAAGACACTTGGGCAGCAACACTTTGTCCACCAGATTCCTTTCTTCAGTAAATGTTCACTGGTTGCAGTTTCTAGGGTGATTGCTACTTTAGGGTCCTGGGCTGGTAAGAACGTGGGTTTAGGGTGTTGTTTCACTTGAGAAAGTTTCTTAATACTCCAGAACTGAAATCTATCCCCCATAAAATGGGAGCTCTATTTCTCAGGGATGGGGAGGAGCAGGGGAGAGGAGGATCCAGCCTGGAACAGATGCTGGGTGAGTTCCAGTGGCTCCCGGGTCACTTCACAGGCTCAACAGTTATGAAGCTGCATTTGGTTTCATAACTTCACAGTGTGACGTGCTTCTGTCCTGGGAGTGTTTTTCTGCTGAAAAGTAAGGAATACTTTTGTAAACCTAGTTTTGTGTGCCAGCCCCCTCTAGATCTGGGGCTGCAGGTACCTGTCCCCATCTGCCGTACATTCAGAATTCGATGTCCATTTGTGGGGGGGGGGGGGGATTGCCCGTCCCCGGGAGCCCAGCTATGGCCCTGTGGGATTGAACACCCGTCACAATCCCTATTTTCATATGCTGTATTGCTTTAAATATTTCTTAGAAAATTCCTCTGCGATATATTTTTAGCCTGTTTACTTTTGCCTCCTGAGGGGTAAGGTATAAGATAGGAACTCAAGTTTCTGGTTATTATGTACACTAGATTGATCTGGCTTATCCTTGTTCTAGAAAAATAGAGGCACCCTGGCTGGTGTGGCTCAGTTGGTTGGGCGTTGTCCTGTGTACCAACAGGTTGCTGATTCAATTCCCAGTCAGGGCACATACCTGGGTTGCGGGGATCCCCGTAGGGGGCATGCGGGAGGCGGCTGATTGATGTTTCTCTTTCTCTCACCCTTCCTCCCTCTCTCTCTAAAAATCAATAAAAATAAAAATATGTTTTAAAAATCAGGCTTAGGTTTTTTTTGAAAATTATATAACGAAAATCACCACATTGTTTATTTCTTTTTTCTCTTTAACCTGAATACAGGGTCAACAAACCTTTTTGATTAGCTAAGCTACTTGAATAAGTTTGATACCTAAAATTAAATGCCCTTTTTTGTGAGCAGGCATGTCAAACTGAGGCCAAGCCCTCCCAGCTGCGGGAGCCGGTGGAGCCTCTGTGTGGCTCTGTTGTGCCGGTGGAGCCCCTGTGTGGCTCTGTTGTGAATACTCCGGATTGCCTAATAGGCTCACCTAATCTTCTTGCAGATGAAGAAGATTTTAAACAAGATATGGCAGCCTTGAAGGTAAAGTAGGGTGTTGCTTATTCTTTCTGCCATGAAGATAAGAAGCTTGAACAGTGAAAGCCGGTTTTGGCTGACTTGCTTTTGAACTATGGAAACAGTTATCTCTCCTTTGCTTTCTTTCAGGTTCTCCCACCCACAGTATACTTGAGAGTAACTGAAAATATTCCTCAGATCATTTCTTTCATTGAAGGAATAATTGCTAATGGGCATGCTTATTCAACAGCAAGAGGTGGGGCTATTTTATAAACACTAATTGTTGGTAACATTGATGGGACTATGAGAAACTGGACATATTCTTATGAGTTGTTGGAGAGTGCCAGATGTTTTACTGTCTCAATATGATTCCTACAGTGAAAATGTGAGGTTTTCTTATGGTTATTGTCTTTGCATAAATGGCTGCATCAATTCTTTTTGTTGTTGTTAATCCTCACCCGAGGATATGAGTGGAAAGGAGGGGGAGAGACAGACAGACAGACACAGACACACACACACATACACACACACACACACAGATTGGTTGCCTTCCACATGCAACTGAGTCTGCAACCGAGGTACGTGCCCTTGACCAGAATCGAACCCGGGACCCTTCAGTCACTCTGTTCACTGAGCCAAACCAGCTAGGACGCATCAATTCTTTTAAAAAGTATTTCCACGGTTACAGGAAGAGATGACCATCTGGAGAGCTAGTCTAGACAAGGCAAATGTGGCATGATGCTAACAATGTTGTACTAGATGTAGGTGTGCAGGTGTCCTTTGAGTCTTCTTTCAACTTTGTTCACATTTTTCATAGCAAACAGTTGAGGACAATGGCAGCACCTCAAAAGGTCCACCCCCTTGTGGAAGACTGGCCCTCAGACTGTCATCTCCTTGGATGGGCAGTTGTCTTTTTGATGGACCAGTGAACATCCTGACACTTTAGGCCCTGCACACTTCAACACACGTCTCTGAATAAAAGACGTCACCCTATGTAACCCCAGTGTCATGATCAGAGCTGAGCTGCTGGACAGTTCCCTAATAGCATGCCCTGTCCTCTGCATATTCACACCTACCTCCCCACATCCTCATCTAACTCAGGTTCTTTCGTGGTCCTACCTGAGGACATAAGCTACGTGGCAGGGGCCCCTGGCCCCTGGAAACGTGTGTTGCCTTTCTCAGTAGCCTATGCACGTGGTTGTGTCCTGTCCCTTTAAGACAGTCCCCACTTTGTTCCCCTCATTACGGGCTCGTTGAAGAGACTGGCCAGGCCAGTTGTCTTCGGAACACCCGTCTTCTGGATATGTGTGACCACTTCCTGTTGTAGAGCTTCATTGGTTTAGGAGCTGCTGCTTTTCGGTTGGTGGTTTCAGGGAAAGACTGGCAGCCTGGCGTTTTGCTGCTTCTACGATTCAGCATTGTTTTCAGCCATATCTCTTCCTTTCCAGTCATTCTTCCCAGGTCTAAATCCTCCTTTCTCTCTCCCAGGAAGTTTTCTTTACTGCCCGTAGCCGAAACGCACCTTCTCAGCTGTGATAGCCGTACTGTACCACTTGGTAGCCAATCATATGCTGCCTCCGCTTGCTGTTCACATTTTCACTTTTTGTCAGTTCTTGGACCAGGAAAACCTTTTGCTTTTCACAAATAACCCATTAGAGAACCTAGCCGGGGGTTGGCAGCATTCAGGTACTGCAATACTTGTTGCAAGTCAGTAACAAAGTGGAAAGCATGATCATGGACATGATTCATAGGGATTATTGGCCTGTGAGCACCTTTCTTTCGTGGTCGTACTTGAGGGCATAAGCTACATGGCAGGGGCCCCTGGTCCCTGGAAATGTTGTTGCCTTTCTCAATAGCCTGTGCATACAGGCTTGCAGTCTTTTACTTTATCTTGTTTGCTATGTTTAGATTTTATTTCCAAGAAAAACTTGTTTTAAAGGGCTTAGGTGACTGAACTGGAATTGTTTCCAGAAATACAGGAATTGTTTTCCTGCTGTCATATAACGTGAAATAAGACACATAAGCCAGCTAAACTGATTAATGTTCATGCGCTGCTCAGAGATTCCCATCCAAGCATACTTTAGGAGTAAATGCTGTTTGTTTTATTACTATGCTTTATGGTAAATTTTAATTATGATAAACATAATTAATTTAAAATAAATTTCACTTACTGAAACTCCATTCATTTGGACTTTGTGACAGTTTCACAAAGCTTGGTTGTAATTTGATCTTTGCACTATTTGTGAAGAAAGAATTTGTTCAGCAAATGGATGCCATAAATAGAGGTCTGAGGAAAATGTTTCATCCATTAAAGGGAACAGTTTCTTTCTGTTTTAAAGCATTTTCAAGTGCCGTTTACATTCTAACTTACTTCTCCCACTTTCACCAGTTTATCCCAGCTCGTAGTTGGAGCTCAGGAACAAGCTCTGAGTGAAGGTTGGGGACGCGGACTCTGAGTCGTCTGGGGTCTCTGTTTCCCGGCGGCCCCCGCGTGCTCAGGCCAGGACTGACTCCAGCTCCGATAACCCCTCCCCTGCGCGGCTGGACGTGCAAGGGCTGGCCCTGGCTCTGCAGTGACCTAGCGGAAGGTCACCTTGCACCCTCAGTCTAAAAACGTGGACCGGATGCACTTCGGTGGAAGGACAGCTACGGGAGGCTTGAGTGCAGCGATGTTTGTAACCTAAGTAAAAAGACAGCCGTGGAGGGTATCCGGTTAGGAAAGGGTTTCTTTGCTGATCGCTGTGTAACATGAAGCCCAGAGCTGAACGCAGGCCAATGGTAACACTCACTTTTCCTTTTTCTTGTTAAAAAGAATTGCGTCAGCATTTGACACAGAACTTACTCCTTTGTTTTCACTTTTACATCCAGACATTCATGATGTGTCCAAATGCATGTTTTTAAAAAACAGTGCTGGTGGTGTTAATTTTGATTTTAAAATATAGTACAGGAGGCCAAATGAGGGCCAGATGCCATATTCTGTGTTTCAGTTCTAATCACTTGTTAGCTGTTAAGCTCATGTAGATGCTGACATTTAAGACTGAGAAATGAAATTATTACCTTTATAAAACAGGCAATGTCTACTTTGATCTGCAGTCGAGAGGAGACAAGTACGGCAAGCTCGTCGGTGTGGCTCCTGGTCCTGTTGCAGAGCCAGGTGGGTGGACCCCGGCGTCCTGTCCCGGCTTCCGGGGGCTGACGCACAGACTCAGCTTCTCTTTCCCAGTGCTCGGTTGAGACCCCCACTCTCTCAGAGGTGGTGCCAGACAGCTGATCACAGCTGTGTTTTATTTTATTTTTTAAAATATATTTTTATTGATTTCAGAGAGGAAGGGAAAGGAAGAGAGAGATAGAAACGCCAATGATGAGAGAGAATCATCAATCGGCTGCCTCCTGCATGCCCCACACTGGGGATTGAGCCTGCAAACCAGGCATGTGCCCTGACCAGGAATTGAACCATGACCTCCTTGTTCATAGGTCAGTGCTTAACCATTGAGCCATGCTGGCCAGGGATCACAGCTGTGTTTTAAATTTGATTCTGGTCCTAGCTGGTTTGGCTCAGTGGATAGAGCGTCAGCCTGCAGACTGAAAGGTCCTGGGTTCGATTCCGGTCAAGGGCACATGCTCGGGTTGCGGGCTCAATCCCCAGTGGGGATCATGCAGGAGGCAGCCAATCAATGATTCTCTCATCATTGATGTTTCTATCTCTCCCTCTCCCTTCCTCTCTGAAATCAATAAAAATATATATTAAAAATAAATAAATAAATTTGATTCTGTTTTTTCAAATAGAACTTGTAGAGTATAAAGGTCACACAGCATATGACACATCCCTCCCCTCTCCTGCCTGGGCCTCCAGCTCTTCCTGGAGAAGGCACCTTCGCCCATTCTCACGGCTCCTTTCAGAGATGGTCCCCGCATGTGAAACATGCATGTAAGCTTTCTTCATGTCTGTTCATGGCTCGATAGCTCATTTCTTTTTAGCAGTGAGTAATATCCCATTATCTGATGTACCACAGTTTACTTATCCACTCACCTACTGAAGATCTTGTTTCCAAGTTTTGGAATGTAAAGAGAGCCCAGAACTGGCTCATTGTACAGACTTCAACAATAACCTAACCTTTCTCTTTTGAGTCTCTTTACTCTTTGAATGTGATTGGCATTCTGGTAATTCTCCTTTTCGCTCTATATGATTTTTTGGGGGGAAAGTTACTCAAACTCAGTTACTGATAAGCACAGCTGTCTTAGGAGACAGACTGCAGAAGAATGAGTGCGCTAGTTCAGGACACCTCTCAGAAAGCAGCATCACCGTGCGTGTTTGAAATCTCAACTCATTCATTATTCAACTCACTGAAACTGGCCTCATGCTGACAGACCTCATTCTACTGGCATATTTTAGGTGAAAGTGTTTAGTAGTCTTTCCAGCCGTCAGGTGGGGGGAAGAGGAAAACATGAATGAGGAATGTGAGGTTACTATAAGAAGGAGCAGACTCTTTGGAAAGTGCTTTAGTTTTGTGACTTTGGGTTGGTTTGTTCATTCTAAGTTCTCAACCCTGTTGATCAAACACTTTTAATTGGCAGGTGATTCGGACAAGCGGCATGCCAGTGACTTTTCCCTGTGGAAGGCAGCCAAGCCCCAGGAGATCTTCTGGCCCTCTCCTTGGGGAAACGGAAGACCTGGCTGGCATATCGAATGTTCTACCATCTCAAGGTAAGGTTTTCCTGGATTCTTCCCGTCGGTGTTGATGTGAAAGCTCTAGCAATGCCTGAGTTGGCCAGTAGAGGGCGCAGACAGGACAAGTTTGGTCTCCGCACCAATGCAGACAAAGCAAGGAGTTTGGAGGAAAGCTTAACACTCAGAGGGGACTGGCTGTAAGAAGGGAAACAAAACAAAAACATGGCTTATTCATCTTTGCATCAGCACTTTCTTTTCAGTAGGAAAGCCGCTTTACGGTTCAGGTTTTGATTTCCCATCTCCTACAAGCCGGCTCCAGGTTGCCTTCATCTCTCTGCCGAAGTGGGTTTAGGGAACACCAACCCTCCACTGAGGTGAGGGCAGAGCCCCTCAGGGACAGGGGACCGAACCACCTTTCTCCTGCCGCTCTCTCAGTCCACAGGCCCTCACCCCAAAGCTGGATCAGAACCCATCGAGCGTTATCCCCAGGTTCTGTGTGTCTGTCTCCTCAGTCTTCCATCAGCCCTTTCTCAGGACGCTTCTGTCCTGGGATCTCTATAAACACTGGTCCCCCGTGACCCTGACCCCTCCAGCAGCCTCCTTTTTGTTTGCTTCTATCACCATCTACATGTGACCTGCTCCTGCCTGGCTTTCATCCCAGCGTCCCACTGACTCTGGTCTCCTGAGGGCACCAGTGACCAGGTCACTGACAGGCAGCCTGATGCCCTCCTTTTCCCTTGGCCCCTGGGAAACAACTCTCTGCTGGTTTTGGCATCTCTGCTGGGGCCTCCTCCTCCTGCTTGATCACCTCTGCAGACTGTTCCTTCGCACTCCCCACGCTTCTGCCCATGGCCACATGCCCCTTTTCGTGTGTGTGTGTGTGTGTGTGTGTGTGTGTGTATGTGTGTGTGTGTGAGAGAGAGAGAGAGAGAGAGAGAGAGAGAGAGAGGCAGGCATACCACATGTGCTGTTCTCTTCTGTCTCTCTTCACTTAGCCATCTGTCCTGGGAATTCCCTTGTATCAGTTTGCTGAGCTCTTCGTCATTTGTCTTCTCGGCTCCTAAGTGCTGCTGTATTGTGTGGCTTACCCATTGTTCATTTAGCTAGTACCCTATGGAGGAGCATTTAGGTGTTCCAATACTTTGCTCTTACAAATACCTGCAGTGAATAACCTGGTGTATGTATTTCCTGTTTGTGGAGGTGAGGGGTTTTCAAGTATCATATTAACTCAGATTTTATTATATTTGATGTGTTTTAGTTCATTGCAGATATTTATTATAATAATTCTTTGCAGTGGAGTTATAAGTTTTTAAAATTAGAAACATAAAGTATGCTTAAGGTGAGCATTTCAAACTACTAGCTACACCAAAAATTTTCAGATCAGCCAACCCAGTCACCCTCAATTGGTTGTTGTATGTGGTGCTGTTTTCTGGCTGGGTATAGCAGTGGTAACTATCTTATCTATATATATAAAAGCCTAAGTGACCATCCAACCGTTTGACTGCTTGACCCGTAGCTATGATGCGCACTGACCACCGGGGGCGGACACTCAACACAGGAGCTGCTGAGCTGCGGTGACTTGGCAGCTGCGGTTCTCGGGTGACACACCCGGAACCAGAGAGGAGGGAGCTCGATTCTGGGGTGTGTCACGAGAACCACACTCTTGCAATCCGGAACCCCTTGGGGGATGTCAGAGAACTGGTTTCGGCCCGATCCCTGCAGGCCAGGCTGAGGGACCCCCCCACCAGTGCACGAATTTGTGCACTGGGCCTCTAGTCTCCTGTAATAGAGCACTGTGCCCCATGCACTGTCCCCACCCTAGTTTCCTTTTGAGCCCCACGTAGGTTTACCCTATCCTACCAAATGGAAAAGCCTTGTCCTCTGAGACCCGTCCATCCACATTTTGTTCATTCTAGTTAAGACTCAGCAGGCAGTCTCCCTTTCCACCACATCCCCCCGCAGCCCTGACCTTTGATGACTTCTACATGGCCCATTTAGAAACACATCCAGGCATTCCTGAAATGTCAAACTCTCATGTTACTATGAAGCATGGGCCCAACTTTTCATCAAAAACAATTATGTCCATCTCACAGTCATACATTAATACAGAACCACTTATGTATTTATTAATACTTGTTGGTTTAATAACAATGTGGAGTATACATTGGATTGTAAAAAAGTATTTAGTTTTAGATTCAATTAGTTACTGTAAAGCAGGTAGAAAGCATTTAATAAATTTCAAATCTAATGTTACCATTAAATATTTCATTTTGTTGAAATCTAAATAATGAAAATAGACATTGTATTCCTTTTTAGCTGTCTCTTATTTTAAAATAGGTCTAATGTACAGACATGAATAGAGACTAATATAATGAATACCTCAGATCCACAGTTTAGCTTTATTAAATCTTAACATCGTCATATTTGCTTCAGATCTTAAACTGAATCACTCATTACAAATGAGGCCCCTTATGCTCTCCTACCCAATCTGCGCCCTCCCACCTCACACTCTTCTTCAGAGCATTTGAATTTCAAGGACTGTAATAGATTCTCTAAAATCCATCACTGAGAATGTACAGTAACAGACAACCCACTCAGCCAGCACCACTTTGCTAAATGCGACGGTACAGTGCGGGTTCTTCTGGAGCCCAGGAGCCAGTGGGAGAAGGTCAACCTTCAGCAGGAATGGACTCAGCGAGGCTGTGGCATCTTTAAAAATGTCTATTTTGAACCATTTTTAGGAAAATTCACGATGGTCTGCATTCCAGCCTCGCTGTGTGCTGGGGCAGGTGGCCTCACCACCCCAGCCCCCACAAACCAGCATTTCCACTGTGCTGTTGAGTTTTTCATCGATTTGTGCATTTTCAATGTCTTCTGAAGCAGTGCTAGTGAACCTGGATTGTTCACACTGGTACAGTTTTCGCAGGTGGTCTGGTGAGAGTTTCCAGGCCGAGTGGTCGGGCCAGCTGCTGCACTGTCCCATCAGCCGCACAGCTTTGGTGTGCAGTTTGTAGGACATGAGGTTTTCCAGGATGTATAGCACAGCGTTAGAGCGGAAGTGCCAATAGCTGACGTGCACTGATTTGAATTCTATAACCTTGTTTGTCAAATAAAACCGCTAAGTAGTTAAATTTTCAAAAGCCAAATTAAAAATTCTCTTGATTTTATAGTTCTATCTCTTGTTAAAGGTGGAAAACCACTAAATTTTACCTATTGAAAGTAAGAAAAGGTAATTTTGTAAGTTTTTTTAAAAAACCATACCTCTGGAGCAAAGAGAATTAAATTTTTTCACTAGGAGGAAAAGCTATTAGGGATTTTTATGAATTGTCTTTAGTAGGAGGAAAAGCTATGGATGAGGGATTTTATGAAGTAAAAACAAAATTATGGTTTCCATTTGCATCAGTTAAGCCAGTGATTCCTAAAGTGGGCGCTGCAGCGATCCAGGGGGGCGGTGATGGCCACAGGTGCATTTGTTTTAACTTTTTTTGTATTACCTTTCTATTTTGAGTTCAATAAATAGTTTCATAATTTCAAACTTCAATGTTTCTAATTTACACCTTTCTTTACTATATTTTACGAAAAAGGTAGAAACATTAATACATATATCTTTCTGTTTAATTGCTATTAAAATTTTTAAAAAAATAATTTCCAGGGGGCGCTGAGTAATATTTTTTCTGGAAAGGGGGCGGTAGGCCAAATAAGTTTGGGAACCACTGAGTTAAGCTTTCACACGTATTGATTTAAAATTGAGATCCATTTATTTTATTCCTTGCACAAAGGCTGGAAGGGTTAGATATAAGATGAGGGTTGGAGAAATACGCTGTTTGATTGAATTAATTCACAGCTCTGTGCTGTGTCTTGCAGTTTGGTGTTTGGAAGTCAACTGGACATCCACTCGGGTGGCATAGACCTAGCTTTCCCGCATCATGAGAATGAAATCGCACAGTGTGAGGTCTTCCATCAGTGCCAGCAATGGGGAAATTACTTCCTGCATTCTGGTAAGTAATGACCTCAGAGGAATTGTTCTATTTCAGTCCTGCCGTTTTATCTTTTATTGACAAAACAGTTACATTTGGAAATGCATAGATCAGCGAAAATAGGTCAAGAAGTGGAGCTGTCTCCTAAATTGTTTTTGAATTTTAGTCAGTTGGACATGAACTTCCTTGAATGGGAATGAGTCTGCCTTTTGGGAACTGAAATATGAATGACAAGAATATGGAAAAGGCTTTACAGTGCTGTTCTATATAAGTTTCCTTCTAATAAAACTATTGAGGGTTTTAAGTAGTATGATGTAATCATTATTCGGAATATGCCAACTTTGAGCTATAATATTGTCACCATCCTCTAATACCACTGCCTCTCATTTCACTGTTCAAAAACCATAGTTGGCTAACACCAGCCATCTGTTCTCAGGAGCAGATTGTGACACATGCGTTGGAATTCCCTTTGATGCCTGGGAAGATTCCTATGTCCAAATTTTGACAAAGGTCGTGGGGCAATGTCAAATTGGTCCATTGCTTTTTGGAATGACAGCTTAGGTATTTGGTATTTGGCAGTGATAGGGTTGGGAGCTGCAGATAATCAGCATCTGAAACACAGTGCATTAACAAATACCATTTCTTTAAGTCCTTGAATTAAGGAAACTAGGTTATTCCAGTGAAATATATAGAGATGCTCATTTTATAATGTGCCGTCGGCTGCTTAAAGTCTGGAGTAAGGGTTCACTTGGGTTTTCTTCATGGCAGTGAACTGATGAGGCTGCACGTACCGCAGTGTCTCCTTTATTCTTGAGCTGTCCTGGGTGGCACGCCCACCCTCGCTGTGTCCCCCAGGTGCCCGGGAACCAGCATCTCTATTCTCTGCAGTGACCAGCTCGTTTCTGACTGCCTCACAGTAGTCCGAAAAGAAACAGAACTGGCCGAACAGCTGTGGACAGCATATGGGCTGTTTGCCCTCTAGTATCCCACTTTGTGCCCCTGCATAGAACTCAACAGTAGCCAAATCTCCTTTATTTCTGCCAGCGAAGGGCCTTGCTGGGCAGATTCCCTAAATAGAAGGGCAAAAGCCTGATGGTCCTGGTTCCATGTTCCCCTTCCACTGTGTTAACTGTCTGAGAAGTCAGAGCATGATCCCTCCACAGACACTGCGTCAGTTAATGCTCGTGAGGAGTTATGGTTTGCTCTGGACACTATGAAGTGCAGGTGCCCTTCGGTGAACCGTGGGTCTAGGAGTCAGTACTAACACTTCTTCATGCTCTCAGCTAATGACAGGTGTTTGGTGGCCATAAAACAGCAGGTCTTGTTTACCTTTACTAGTAAGTGTGGGAATGGGAAAGAAAGGGGTTTTGTTGCTGTGTTTTGTTGTGACTTTTACCATCTGTTAAGGCACTCTACGCTTCTCCATGACATTCACACCTGTCCTGGAGAAAGAAACAGCAGTGCCTCCTGACACACAGGAAAATGAATCTGGCCCTTTACATACTGGGGGTGAAGTAATACCAAGGTCTTGATAAGTCTGTGAAATTCAGTTGCAACAGAAAATCTAATTGCTCTCAGAGACCTGCAAGCCCCACTCTGCAATTCTGAACATCTGTAAGCAGCTTTTATTGCCGGGTGGGTGCCTGGTTTGCAAAACCAGAGATTTGTCATTTCTTCAGGTGTTGAGTCGGTTAAAGCGCCGTTTCTAAGTTACAGGAAAGGGGTAGAGTGTGCACTGTTTCTGAGTGTCGCAGTCCGTCTGTTCCTGTCTGAGTTCTGACTCAGCAGTGGTTCCTGTCCATTGCCCACTGTGGGCTGGGTGTACCCGACGCCCTTGAACCAGCATAGCTGTGGGCTCCATCTTCCTGGAGGGTTGACGGTGGGTGATTTGGGGAAATCTTCTATCCACATGTACATGGGTGTTTGCATATTGGAGAGGGCAGCACTTACGGTTTCCTTTCAGTTACCTGGGCAGCTGCAGTCGGAGCCCTGTGCTCAGGCACCTGCTGGAGAAGCGCCCACTTTACCTCCTTCCCCTGTACAGATGGGACGGAGCAGTCCCTCTCTTCCCCCCATTCAGAGTGAATGACTGTGTGTGTTTTTTCTCCTCAGGACATTTGCATGTAAAAGGCAAAGAAGAAAAAATGTCCAAATCACTGAAAAACTACATCACTATTAAGGTAATGTGCTTTTCTGTGTTGCTGCCAGCTTGCTGAACCTTGTTAAACCAGCTGGGACTAAATACTCTTTCTTTTTCCCCCCTGAAAAGTGCTGCTCTCTCCAATATGCAAACACCCATGTACATGTGGATAGAAGTTTTCCCCAAATCGCTCACCGTCAACCCTCCAGGAACCTTGTATATGTGACCCCAAATCTCTGATTCCCAGTTTCCCTGGCCCCCCTTTCCCCATGGCCCTAAGGGGCTACTCCTACTTCCGGGTCTAAATACTCTTTTTTTTTTCATTTTCTTTTTATTGATTTCAGAGAGGGAGAGAGAGAGATAGAAACATCAATGATGAGAATCACTGACGGGCTGCCTCCTGCACGCCCCCAACTGGGGACTGAGCCTGCAACCTGGGCATGTGGCCCTGACCAGAATCGAACCTGGGACCCTTCATTCCACAGTCTGACGCTCTATCCACTGAGCCAAACCAGCTGGGGCTAAATACTCTCTCTCTCTTTTTTTTCCTTTTTCTGAAAAGTGCACAGTGGTATTTCTCTATTTCCTGTTCTCTCTTCTTGTATGGCTCTCCACTGTTTTCTGTTGCCTTTTTAAAAAAGATTTCTTTTATTGATATTTAGGGAGAAAGGGAGAGGGAGAGAGGGAAACATTAATCAGCAGTCTCTTGCACGCCCTGTACTGGGGATTGAGCCTGCAACCTGGGCATGTGCCCTAACCAGGAATCGTACCAGCAACCCTTCTGTGCACGGGTGGACGCCCAACCGAGCCACAGCAGCCAGGGCTGTCGGCTTTAGTGGTGGACTTCTTCCTCCCCCCCTTTTTTTTTTCTCCATGCAGCTCCAATCATGTGTTTGTTTTTTTTAATTGTTTTATTGCTTCAAGTATTACAAAGAGTATTACATATGTCTCCTTTCCCCCCCCCCCACCCCCGCCCTTGACAAAAACAGAAAGGCCTTTGCCCTTTTTGTTTTTAATGATTTTATCTTTTGAATTACATTTGCTGGATTCCTTCCCCTGTTTTTGTCCCTCTGTTCCATCACCAGCCCCCTCCTATCTAGTGTAGCTTTGGGTTTGTTTGTTTGATTGACTGATTTTTGCTTTTTGCTGGCTTCTTACCTTTCCTGGAAAATTTCATTGTGTTGTAGAAATGCAGGCTGAAGTGTGAATTTCCGTATGAATGGTAATCGAGGGCACTAATAGAATACTTAAACACAGCTTGATCCTCCCTTGTCTTGGGGTCTATAATGCCCAATTTAGTTGACAAGGATAGTAAACAGCCCTTCATCACCTAAATACCAACCACTGAAGCTATTCCCACCAGATTTATAATAAACCAAAAGGGGTGTGCTCCTCAAAAATAGTCTTTTATGTATTTTACATAAATAGAAATGTCTAATATTATCTTATACAAACTTTCAAACATACAGAAAAGTTAAAAGAAATACTTATATACTCACCATGTAGACTTAAGAGTTTAGTATTTGTGTGTGTTATTGTCCTGAACCATTAGAAAATACATGTAGACATCATGAGAATTCTTTCTGCATGCAACTCTTAAAAATAAGGATGCTTTCCTACGTAACCTAAACACCTAAAAAGTTAGCAATTTCTTTTCTGTTTTTTTTTTATATCACCATTTATCCCCCCCATACCCTCTTTCACCTCCACCCATTCCCCTCCTTCCTAAGCAATAATTTCTTAACAATACCAATTATCTAACCCATATTTTGATTTCTGCATTTACCCCAATGTCTTTTACAGCTTTATTTTTTAACCAGGATCCAATCAAGGTTTATGCACTGCATTTGAATGTTGTGTCTTAGGCTTTAAAAAAAATTGTTTTTAATAGTGGTAAAAAACACATTACATAAAATCTACGTTAACCTGTTTATGTGTACAGTTCAGTAGTGTATTATGTTCACATGGCTGTGTGACAGATCTCCAGAACTTTTCCATCTTGCGAAACTGAAATTCTGCACCCAGTGAACATATCCCCCTTTCCCCTCCTCTGCCCCTGCCCCCACCATTCTACTTTCCGTTTCCATGACTGACTGCTCTGGGCACCTCATATAAGTGGGATCATAGAGTGTTTGTCATTTGTGACTAGCTGATTTCACTTAGCATAATGTCCTCAAGGTTCATCTGTGTTGTAGAGTGTGACAGGATTTGCTTATTTTTTAAGGCTGTTCTGTTTAGGCTTCTACTCTACAACAGTCTCTCTACTTTTATTTTCCCTGTGGCATTGACTTTTTGAAGAAACCAGGCTATTTTTTCTGAACACCCCACATCTGGAATTTGCCTGTTGCTTTGTGGTGTCATTTAACTTGTTCTTCTAGCTCCTGTATTTCCTGTAACTGGAAGTGAGGTCTCAAGGCTGATTCCATTTAGGTCAAACCTGCTTGGCGGAAACACTCCATCAGTGGTGCTGTGGACTTCCTCTGGGATCACAGCGTCAGACTGTGGGACCCAGTGATGATAAATTTGACTGCTTGGCTAGGGGATGACCACAATGTCTGCTGTAGAGATGTTTCCTTTTTGTGAATCTCGAGAACCTGCGAGATAATGTCATGTCAGTATCTTGTTCCCAACAGCCTTCTGCCCTGCAGGTTTGGCATCCTTGGTGCGCTCCACCTTGGTGCTCCTTTCATTGATTCTTGCAGTTGTGCTGGTCTCATTCTGTTGCTTCTTTACATTTACTATAGTTAGCATTCCCCTTTAAAGAAAGGGTTTTTGTCTTTCTCTGTTTCTTTTCAGTGCCACTACAGACCTAAGGATTTACTTTGTGTATTATCAACTCAGTCTTTATCCTTTTTGTGCTGAAATTATCCCACATTTGGACAGGGAGGGCTCCTGTGTCCTGAGCTCGTGTCTCGCCTGCATCCTTGCTTTCGGCCCTGATCACCTTTGCATCCTCCCAGACCGGCCATTTCTCCGAGGTGCCTCGCTGCCTTTGTGGGGAAATGGAACTTTGAACCGAGATCTGAGCACCTAGTGTGTTTATTGCTACTGGAGTGCAAATATCTCCTTGAGATACTGCTTTTGTTTCCTTTGGATTTATACCCAGAAGCGGAATTGCTGGATTATATGGTAGATCAAGTTTTAGGTTTTTTTTGAGAATTATAATTTTTGTGTATGCAACTATTGAGCTAAACCTTTTTTTTTTTTTAATTCTTGACAGTGTTTCCAGCAGGTGAGACCTTGTCTAACCTACTCATGTGCCCAGGTGTCCCCTTAGTGTAAGTCCCTGCACCAAAGCCAGCACATAGCCAGAGCAGATGCTCCAGCCTGGGCTACTTTCTAAACAGCATCCTTAAACCCCCGAGAGCCCCCCCACCCCCACAAGCCTGGCACGGGGTCCAGGCCAGGTGTTTCCTCCTAGCTGTAGCATGCTGGTTGCTGTTGCCGAGGGGAGGCCAGAGATACCATTGGACAGAAAGGGGTGGGCAGGTGTACAGAAGGGCTGAGAACGTCTCCTTTAACTCTCTGAGGATTCAAACACTCCTCTCGGAGCCCGTTTCCCTCGGTGCCCAGCATTGGTCAGTCGGTGGCACGGTCACTGTGGGTGGCCTGGTCGGGCCAAGCAGAGCCCTAGTGTCTTTCCTGGGGCCACACTGGAACCCATCGTGAGGTTGGGCCCTTTCTCCCCTTCCTCCCACACCCCATGTCTTATCCCTTTAAAATCATGCAGAACTTTCCACTGACCACCAGAGAGAGGTTTTGTTGAACATGGTGCTGTCTTAATGATTTCTGATACGTTTCCCCATGTTATCCTTTCTGATATGGAAATTTTCACTTCTTTATGCAGACATTGTGGAAATAACCGAGAGGGTGATACCAATTGGGCTTTTATTCTATGTTTACTTTTTTTCTTTTAATCCTCACCCAAGGATATTTTTCCATTGATTTTTAGAGAGAGTGGAAGAGAGAGGGAAAGACAGAGAGAAAGAAAAACATCGATGTGAAAGAAACATTGATTGGTTGCCTCCTGCATGCACCCTGACCAGGCCCCGGGCTGGGGAGGAGCCTGCAACCGAGGTATGTGCCCTTGACCAGAATCGAAACCGGGGCCCTTTGGTCTGCAGGCCGATGCTCTAGCCATTGAGCAAAACTGGCCAGAGCTATTTTACGTTTACTTTTATCAGAGGCAGAATGGTTTATTCTTTGAGAAACATACCTGCTTCAAGTTCAGTGTCACCGGAGAGAATGACCTGGGCATGGATGTTGCTTGTTCTGACGTTACCACAGCCAAGCTTTCTGGACTGTCTCCTTCCTGCTCCTGGGAGCCTGTCCCTCTCACTCAGCCAGGAGCTGTGCGTGCCTCCTCCTCCCTGTGTCCCTTCCTGAGCACAGTCTCTCTGAGGTTCCCAGGCTGCTGGGTGGCCTCTGGTGGTGGCCGTCCTCTCATGACGAGGGTGAGAAAATGGTGCCGTGGTGAAGGCTCCCAGGCCATCAGCAGAGCAGACTCCCGATGCGCCTGGTGGAGCCGGACTCCAGGCAGACAGGCCTCTCCTCTCGGCCTTTCCCACAGACGCTGGGACTGAATGTGGACAGTCAGCAGGGAAATTGCAGGGAAAGTGCTGAGTTTGAAGGCAAAACAAAGCTTTTCATAACATTCCTGATTGCTTGACGTGTGAGAACTCACCTCTGAGTGATGCAAACGGGAAAGACAAGCACCGTACATCTCTCCCGCATCTCTCTCTCTCAGGACTTTCTGAAGACATTTTCCCCCGACGTCTTCCGGCTCTTCTGCCTGCGGAGCAGCTACCGGTCAGGTGAGCCGACAGGGCCTTTGGGGGATGGTCACAGCGTCTGCTGTGTGCAGCTGGGAGAGACTACTCTGACAGTGTGGGGAATACCAAAGTACTGGCTGAGTAATAAGCACCGTCTTGTTAGTGTGGTTGTTCATCCCCTAAGGCTTGGGCTCAGAAAGTAAGCCCGAGGATGCACTATTGCATAATACCAGCACTTGGCTAGAAGGTTCCAGAAGCTTACGGAGGCCATGGGTTTCCAGTCAGCCCTCCCCGTCCACTCCCCTTCCCTCCCCCTCTATGGGGTCTGGGCCCCGGAGTGCCCTCCACTTCCTGCTCCATGAACACAATTGGACCGGCCGTGCTCACACAGGGACGGAACCAGGAGCCCTCAAATGCGTCCCACTCAGGGCAGGCAGGCCCTGCTGTGCTGCGCTGTGTGATGCTCGTGGTGGGGGTGGGGTGAGGGGGATGGGGATGTCTAGCACCCTGTCCCTAGGGCCAGAGGTCTCCTCTTCTCTCTGGAAGGCCAGGTTTGGGGACACCCGGCACTGCCGTGCCTGACTTGACCACTGTGACAGTAAGATGGCGCCGGTGTCTATGGCCCTGCAGGAGCAGGTGCCCTTTGGGGGTAGGTGGGCTCCTCAGCCTGTGCACTGGGCATAACCATGTGACCAGGGAAGCAGAGATTGGGGTGATGCAGCCACAGTCCAAGAACGTCTGGGCCAGCAGAAGCTGCAAGAGACAAGGCAGGACCCTCCCTGAGGACCTTTGGGAAGGGTAGCCCGGCTGACCCCTTGATTTCAGTTGTTTTTACCCCCAGAGCTGCAAGAGAAGAAATTGCTGTTTTTGCCCCCAGATCTGTGGTACTGAGGCACGATACCCAGGACACTGGCCCCCACCACTTGGGGAGCAGCTGACACGTCTATCCCTCTGGCTGTGCCTTTTGTGGGGGCCTGGACGTGGTGTCCAGTGGCTCAGGTGGGCTGGCCCAGGTGGGAGTTCTTAAATCTGTCTTCACGTACTCTACCACACTGAGTTTGAGGTCTAATCCTCTCCCTCTCCTCATGGCACCAGGTGGTCTTTGAGCTGCGTCAGGTACCCAAGTGAATGTTTCTGTTTCCAGAGTCAGCTGTCTGTCCATCTGTCAGCGAGAATGGGCCCCCTCAGCCAAAATGTATAGGGAGAGGTTTTTCATGTTTCTTCTGAGGTGATGAGAGATACCCGAGTCAGGACAGACTGGTCTGCGTGGTTCAGGCCTCAGGGAGGTGCAGGATAGGGGGCAGCTGTCCCCGCTCCACTGCTGGGTTTCTGGAGTAGTGTGAGGACGGCCTGGCTAAGAAACTGAGTCTGCAGGTGTGGGCATGCTCGACGGGCACCCCCAGCTAATCCTTCCCCCTTCCTCAGCCGTGGACTACAGCGACAGCACCATGCAGGAAGCTCAGCACCTCCTCCGGGCCGTGGCCGCGTTCGCCCAGGATGCTCGGGCCTACATGAAGGGGCAGCTGGCTTGCAGGCCCATCAGGGAAGACGTGCTGTGGGAGAGGTGGGTGCTCTCCCAGACCTGCCCAGAGGGCCCTGGGCGCCAGCAGGCGCTGGGCTGCCTGGAGGGAAGCGAGGCTTTTGGAGACTAAGGCTACTTGAGTGCTGGTGGGAAGGTCCCTCAGGCTCTGTGGCCTCGGGCAGGTCTGTGTCCGACTGTGGGTGGCTGTGAAGGTTGTAAATAACGTGCCAGGATGGGTTTTCCTGCTGGTGTTTATTAGAGTGAACTGAACAGAGGCCCTTGTCACTACGAGGGTGAGGGCAGGTGCAAGGCCGGAGGGAAGAGGGGGCTCCAGGGCTTTGCCTCCACAATTCAATGCTCTGGCCCAGATGTGGACGCTGTTTCTCACAATGGCCAGAACTGGTCCCAGGGCCTGCCCAGCTGCAGGGTGGCCCAGACCCAGTCCTGCCCCAGGCCCGGAGGGGGGCGGATCCAAAGCAAGTGGGGCCTTTACCTCCAGTAAAGAGGGGCAGCAGCGAGTTAGATGAGGTAAAGCCTGTGACAGGTAGTGGGTGTGAAGGTGAGACCACACAGACGAGAGAGGAAGGCCCAGAGGGCCTGAGTGTCCTTGTGGGCTGGGGAGGAAAGGGAGAGGATGACCACCATGGAGACTGCGCTGGAGGGGCTGACGGGAGGAAAGAGAGGGCAGCTGGGGTGGGAGTGGGACACAGGCCTGCTCGCCTGAGGGAGGCTACCTGCTGTTGGCTGTGAGTGACACATGTTTCTCATCTAAGGCTCAACCACACACAGGCTGCTGTGAAGGCCGCCTTGGCGGACGACTTTGACACGCCTGGGGCGGTGGATGCCGTCTTGGATCTCATTCACCAGGCGAACAGACAGCTGAAGGTGGTCACTAAGGTAACTCCAGTGACCACAAAGTAGGGTTTTTGTTTGGTTGGTTTTCCCTCATAAAGAACAGATGCCACTTCCCAACTCTCTCAGGTAACCATCTCCCACAGCCGGTGGCTTCCAGGCCTCTCCTGACCTTCCCTAAGTTCCTGAAGCTGCTTCAGCCGAATGGGGCCTGCCCTGCTGGCCCTGCAGGAGGCACCGCCTCCCAGAGCCCCAAGCAGTAGGTGCGGCTTATGTGGGCACAGAGGTCCCAGCACACTGGGAGCCGCATTGCGTGCTGGCTAATGCGGGAGCACACAGCCTTCCTGTTTGCTCGGAGGAAGCTGAGTTCACTGCTAAAACGTGAAATGAGGGAGGAAGCCCTATGTTGGGACCTTGACTCACTCTGTGCCCACCCAACCTGACCCTTTTCTGGGTCTTGGTGTCACCCCACTCCTGAGGCTCTGCCCTCATGACCCAGTGACCTCCCGAAGACCCCGTCTCCTGAGACCACCATCATGCTGGGGGCTAGGTTTCCATGTATGCAAGCGTTCAGACCATAACATCCCCATATTCTAGGTGGGCGGGCTCAGGTGCAGGATTAAGTTACTGACCCGGGTCGTCTGGCTTGCAGAGTGGCAGCTCCAGCAGTTAGTCCAGGGCCCCCTGCCAACTTGTCCGCATGGAGGCACAGCAGGCAGAAGTGACCTGTTACACCGTTGCCTTTAAAGAGCCTTCTCTGGGTCATCTGTCACAGGAGCCTGGCGGTCCCAGGAGCCCTGCTGTGTTTGGCTCCATCATCTCCTACGTTGAGCAATTTTTTGAGACGGTTGGAATTTCTCTGGCAGAACGACAGGTACACCCTTCTCTTTTCAGTCCTCAGTGGTGGGATATTTACAAGCCAATCCAATAAGGACCATTTTTCCCCTTTAATGGATACTTATAAATGCCAATTTATGTGCTCAAAAGTACATTACATTCCTTAAAAAGTCAACACTCAGAGCTAATATCTTAAAATGAAATTGCAACAATTCTGAGAAGCAGCAGCGCA